AGTATTTAAAGTGCAAGCAAACAGTTAAGATCATCACTGTTATATCAGCTCCGGTAGACTTTACCTCCTGGAGTATCTCTGGCAAAAAATTTATGAAACAAAGTAAAGCCGGGCCTAGAACTTCTAGGCCCGCTTTACTGTTTTAAAAATTTTCTGCCAGACAGTATTCTACGCCATGATCTGAAACTTTTCCTGCCATTAGCCGATCTTGTACAGAGCGATGTTAAAGCTTAATGCAGAGGGACTTATGACAACTTGATATCTTTTATGCCGATAACTGTAAAATAGCTGACTTAGGGAAAGTGGCAATAAATTACCACTTCAACGATGGAGATTTGTGCGACGTTGAAACTAGTAAAGACTTCGGGCTCATTAATTCTCCTAGCCTTCAAAGGGATGCGCATTGTGGTGAAAGTGACCATTTTTATGAAAAACCAAAATTTTAGCCTATGCGACGAAGTGTACCCTTTCAGTAATATGGTAATGAGAAAAAAATATCGTTTTCTTTGTACCCTGATTTTGTCTCTAATTTATGGTTCATGCAAGTGGTGCCCTAGCATCGGCAGCCTCAGAAAATTCGAAAGATTTCAGTATCGTGTCTTGACACTTTTGGGTATAAGTTACGTTGTTGCTCTCACTTTGATTTCAAGCTACTCATCAAAAAGACCATTTAGTGACAAAAAATTCAACAAGGATAAACCTGTTTACGAATAATTCAGACTTATTATTTCAACTTGTTTACAGGAGTCAATTTACAAACCACCTAGATAATTTTTGAAGAGGGATTACGAATCGTTTCCTTTATTTCTTTAAAAATGTATTTACATTTTTGCAATGGTTGTACATGTCAAGGTTCACAGCTTTGTTAAATTTAAAAAAAAAAATTTCTATTGATGTTGGAATAATCGAATAGAATAGGCCGATTATTATCGTTCTTGTTTTTCATTAACTCTATTCTTTTTTTTGTGTGAATCAAGTTTCTCTCTCCCGCTCTGTCTCTTTCTATCTTTCTTTTTTGCTCTCTCTCTCTCTCTCTCCTCTCCTTCTCTCTCTCCCTCTCTAACAGTAGCCTTACTCTTGCATCTAAAATCTCTTTTTTGCTCTCTCTCTCTCTCCTCTCTCTCTCCTCTCTCTCTCTCCCTCTCTCTCTCTCCCTCTCTCTCTCTTTCTCTCTCTCCCTCTCTAACAGTAGCCTTACTCTTGCATCTAAAATCTCTTTTTTGCTCTCTCTCTCTCTCCTCTCTCTCCTCTCTCTCTCTCCCTCTCTCTCTCTCCCTCTCTCTCTCTTTCTCTCTCTCCCTCTCTAACAGTAGCCTTACTCTTGCATCTAAAATCTCAAAAAATCGGAAACTTGAGAATTGTTTTTCTCGACACAAGAAAAGTTTGTCCGATTTTTTTTCCCGCTCAAAGCACAACTGTACTGTCTGCACTACCACACATCTACCTTTCGATCCCATTAGCTGTTTATTTGTTGTACAAGATGCCGCAAGACAGGAAAATCACCCGAATATGAACTTCCTCTCCTCGCCTTCGGTTGTCGTAAAATCAACTTAAGAACTATGTAAATCGAATTGAGAACTAGAAAAGACTTGAATGTCATAGTTTAGCTGAGGGTATTCGAAACAACAAGAAACGACAAACAGGGTTTGCACTTATTTGGAGAAAGGAGCTCGCTAAAACCAAATGGCAAAGGGAGCTTTCACTTAGGTTAAGGTCAACCATCGCCAGCGCACGAGTGAGAAAATGTTATTGAACAAGAAAACAAGCCTTAAAAAATTACAAACCAAAGTTGTTTAACAAACCTGTTACCTTACGAGCGCAAAAAAAACCTGTTACCTTACGAGCGCCACCTATTAACTATGTTTATCATGTTCACAGAGGTCAAATAAAGTTCATAAAGTAAAGATGAAGACTTTAACTGAAAAACAAACACCGATCAGTATAATTAATCTCCCTTCTTGATCACTCAACACAGAGGCGAAGAGGATAGAAAAGGTATGCAGTAAAATGATTACGTCTCAAATGGCATAATTCCCAAATGGCATAAAAATGAAAAATTTCCCATATGGCATAAATTTCATGCAACAGTTGCATTACAAAAATCGAGAAAAACTTATTCGTGAACCATGTGGAAAAATTAGTCGAATTGTCAATTCAAAAGTTGATTGACGTTTTATCTTTAAAAGATTGTAGAATTTTTTAACAAAAGCGCAAAGCATACGCTTGCTGTTACTAATAAGCTTCTTGTGGTCAACTTTTCTGACAAAATTGTCATTTTACATTTGTTTAGAAGTAATTTATTCCAAATCTTGTTCACATGTTTTCGTTCCTGTCAAAACTTTAGATTTAAAATTGGTAGAAAAAGTTTGGTTACATATCAGTATTTAGACAACCGCGTATTCAGACTGGTCAGTATTTAGACAAATACTGTTTCAACCAATCAGAATCGAAACAAAGAAGAAATTAATAAATAATTATTATTTATTTTGGATTATTTATGTCTTTTTTCGATTCTGATTGGTTCATACAGTATTTGTCTAAATACTGACGAGTATGAATACGCGGCTGTCTAAAAACTGGCTGCACTCCAAAAAGTTTGAACTATAATTAAAGCTTGAAATTTATGCCATTTGAGAAAAGTGTTTTTTAATGCCATTTGGGAAGTTACCCTGTAAAATATCGGCAACATTTTTTTCGAAACACTCCAAGCTTTTCAAGTAAACCACGAACAATTTATTATCTACACAGAGGCGAAGCAAAGCTTCGCAGCACTTGCAATGCAATCAAAACATTGCCTTACACGATTTTGAAAAAAGGACAATTGTTTTTGAAATAAGTCGAAAAAAACTACATATACAATTATTATCCACCTTAGTCTTGAATGATGTTCACAAGCAGTTTTAACAGCATTGAGAAATAATGACCTAGCAGCAACTAAGCCGACAACAAAAATTCGGTCAACCCTCGTCAAGCCGAAAACAAAACAGTAGGCGTAACAAATACAGCGATCAAAATCTGATTACCTATTTTAAAACTGAAAATTATTACATATCCCTCTCGTAAAATCATGAAAAAATCGCCCTTAAGTCTACGCAAGACAAATTGACTCAGCCAATATAACATAAGCTGGCCCCATTTAACCAAAAAATATATATTCAAAATCCCAAGCATTGAAACGAAACTGCTTGAAACACGTCGCAAATAATACAAATTGCATTTGGAAATAAAAACGGAGAACCAGCCGATAGAAATTGGGACGAAAACCACAAATCCAAAAACAGCAAAATTAGGGTATCTGAAAAAATTATCTTATACCTAAAATGATCTACGAGGTAATTTTATTGGATATTTGAAGAAAATTGAGCATGTTAGTTTGCAGGTTTTGCACGTCAAAGTAACTGCACGTATTTCTTACATATTATGTAAGAAAAATTGTTAGGGGGAAAAGCCTAGTTCCCGATTACAATTCACTCGCTCTCGCAACTGAAATTATACTTTGAAATCAAGGAATAAATTTTGAGAGAAAAACTCAAATCTCAAAAAATAATCACATACTTTCAGGGCGTGATCGTTCAGCTAGTTAGTTTGGAGGTAAATTGTTCTTATGGTCCATTAGGTTTTAATTAGCTTCTATCATATCAGCATGGAATGTGTAAGACTATCCATGCAACAAGAAAATAACTAGATCATTAATTATTTAGGCAATTTTCAAACCTGTATAACTTGATCACAGGTATAGAAAAAAATCGCGTTGATGATGAGCTAAGAGCGTTCAGAACTTTTATACAATTTTCACAAAACTCCAATTGAAATCTGTCTTGCGCTGTATCTTGTTAGGATATTAGCAAAGCAAGACTGCTCTTATGAGGACAAAGCGACTTCGTAATTTGGAACGATTTCGTATAGCAGGATAATTCGTCACGTGTAAACTATAAAGCGAGGCAGTTTAGCCATACACGTGACAGGTTACGATAAAGGTGTGCACACTAATCTGGATCCCGTAATGCGACAAACCTCAGCAAAAGACAACTCGCAACACGGGCAGCCGGTTACTGTGCAAGTATCACAGTATGTTTCAACCAAAGTCTTGATGAATACAAAAAAAATTTTTTTTTTCAAAAAAGGGTTGCTTTTTTTCTGCGTGGTATGATAAAAAAATTTAAGATAAAAACTTAGGCATAATCGACAGTCACAGTAGAATAGGCCAACTGGAAAACAAATTTTTCAGAAAAAAAAACTTGAAAAACGAAAAAAAAATCGTAAAAAAGTACAAAAATTACTTGCAGAAATTTTTTGATTTTCTTTTTTCCCAAATTGGCGCAAAAAACTCCAAAAACTAATTTTACTCGAGTAAAACTACGTTTTCACGACTTGAATTAAGCATAAATAAGCTATTGTAAGTCTGGACGGTCACCTTATTAGCACGAAATTAGAACAAAAATAAAAAAAATTCAAACCAGCTTTTCTAGACACTGGGAAAATTTTTATGAACATTTTTTATGTTGTTCGAATCACCACCAGGGCTTTCATATGATATATCACTCAAGCTAGTCCGGTGATCATTTTTAAAACATTGTTTTGCGAGTAAATCAAAAAAGTATTTAAAAAATAAAGAAAAAATTAAAACCCGAATACAAAGTTCCTCTTCATTTTTCAAATAGTCGGAGCAAAAGAAGACAACTCCTATTAAAAGACAACTCGCAGTATACTCACCACCACAGTCGCGCCAATTTGTTGCAAGCTTGCAAACAGAGGGCAAAACTAAATGAAATTTGGAGCCGGTTATCGTAGCGAAGCGGCTACGTGTGCCCACAGACGACCTTAAACCAAAATTGTTCCGTTGAAAATTAATTTTAAAGTTTTACGAGTTGTGGCTTTACTTATTTTTTGCGAGATGCCTTTTATTACGAGTTCTCACGGTACCGATTGCGTCCCATCTACAAACACCTCGAATTACTTTTCTCAATGTAAAAAACTCTCATGATCTTTTAGAAGATAAATTTTTGAACATATCGCAAGAAATCAAATATTTGAATCAAATATAGGTCATGCCAGGAAAAATTGAACAAGATAACAGCGATAATCAGAATGATCGGTTCAACGAGGTGCTAGAAATAATTGCTTAATAAATCTTATGACATTGCTGGTTGCATTCTTTCTACTGATTTCAAGCACTCTTTCGTTGAACGTCCATGGAAATTTATAATTAAAACAAAGACAATTAACATAAATTGGAGTGTAGTTAATGCCAGATTTATATTCTTATCAGCATTACCTTCAAATTATAAACCTTCAATAATAAAAGTGTGCAAAGCTAGAACGCGAATACATCTTGGCATTAACTTCATATGAAACGTTTTAAATTATCAGCAACTCGGAGAGAGCAACTTCCTTAACTTTCGATCTTAACCTCTGCAGTTTTTGACGCACTTTCCTCTTCTGGGTTCACAGGTTGTGGTGGTTCATACGCTTTAACCGAGGGAGATACAACTACATTTTGATTCCAAACGGAAAGCGTCTCAGTTACACTAGTATCTGGATCAATACCAATCACTTTTTTCATCCCGCCTTGAGCTAAAACTCTGAGCAAAGTCTGCGCAGTGTAACATACTTGATCTTGTTGTTCCAAGGTCATAGCGGTATGGACCCTGACATTTCCAGCTTCGCATGGATCCAGCATACCCAGAGATCCGGGAAGAAAGAAGCCTGCTGAAAGAATTTGAAGCACACGTTTATATGCAGCTGCCAGACTCAACGGCTGGTGGGTTGGGTTATTCATGATACAGTAATGAGCAATCAAGTCAATGATCCAGGGATTCATCGGTTCCAGACCCACAAACCTAGATCGCAGGTCCTTCAGGAGGCGAACAAGAACCTTGATCGAGGAATGGGTAGCGTTTTCATCGAACCATCTTGTATGACGAATTGAGGCCATAGCTTGAACCATAGGCTTGTAGTCTAAATGCAGCTCCTTGTCCAGTTGTCGGAGATTAGCAGGACCTGTCGTGATCATTAAATTCACAGTGCACGAAGGATTCGAGATTTCACAGCCTCCTTCGTTCATTTGCATGTGAATTACATCTCTTGGATCAGCTGTTTGAACTTCTTCACACACTTTTCTACCCAGCTGATTCACAGCTTCTATGGTCGGAAGTATTTTTAACACCACTACCATATCAGCTACGTTATGTCCCGCGCAAATCGTCGATTTTTTGAAGGATCCAACTTGTCTCACTTCCTCGATGATAACTTCCCAGCCTTGAGGAGGCGCCACTACTAAATTGTCCAGGACAGATTGCACTTTTTGCATCAACGCCAACTGATTCGCTTGTTCAGTAGGAGTAGGCGTTATATCTTGGTGTCGCTTCAGCAACATGGCGTTCATATTGCTTTCATCCACCGGTTCATTGACCCTTGGGAACACTGGTTCACACAATACAGGATCGAATGGAAGATGGGGTACGAATTGAGGTGTGTGATGGTACCTTGGGGGAGGGGGTTGGTGCACCTGAGGTGGAGCACGGATACCCCAAGCCCCTCCACCTCCACCCATCATGTGAGGAGGTGGTCCCCCCATCATGTGCCTTGGACGGTACATAGGATGTCGCATTCCCCTCATTGCTGTCTAAAAAATTTATTTAAAAAAACAGATCATGTATGGCTCAACTTAATCAATATTCTTTTTCAACCATAAAATGTCCAAACGGATGAGATAAATCTGAAGTTTTTCCATTTTTGAAAAAACAAGTTTTTCGAGCATTTCTAGACTTTGACCAGAAAAAGTCGTACTTTTAAGCATTTGCCCATACGAACTTATAATTTAACGCCAAAACCAGTAAATGACTCCATATGAAAACTGTGCTTCTCCAAACATTTACTTAAAACTACTTTATACACATTTAATTTGGAAATAATTGCAATTGATACCAACAAATATGCATAATGGATAGACATTTAATGATAAGCACCACCGATATCTTAACTGCGATCTGTGCTCATAGACCTGTAAGAAGCCTTCTATGAGCATGCTAACTCAAAATTGATATGGTTTCATGCAACATTCTTCGGATCTCTAACTATTTCTCCCCATGTGTTATCTAGTAAAAGAAATCCACTTTATGACTAGTTCAAGAGTTAAGAAATTTTCTTAGCGACAATTTCATCTTAATTTTGCAATAGCGGAGGATGTATTTAGAGATTTGGTACTTACACCATGAAAAATTCATGCATACAAATTCTTTTTTGAAACAGCGCGATTTGAACTAATTTAAAAAAAAGTCCGTGAGTAATGAACATAAACGTCATCATTACAAAAGAAGCAAAAATATACAAACACCGCCATTTTGAAGTTCGTTCATGGTGTAAAATAGCTCAAATCGCAAGTGACGTAATGACAGTAAACTGAGACAATGATTTGTCGTTACAATGCTTTATTGATTTTCTCCATCATTGCCGCTAAATCGTCACATACCAATCTGACAACATACCGATGATAATAATGCACCATATGACAATGAAGCATGAAATGACAAATATTGCAAGGGACTAATCACAAACTTTACTAAAAGGCTTTCATTTAAAATCTTTTTCCGCGTGTTTTTACATTTATGCATGCACTTTTGTTCTTGATATGAAGTCTTTTTGCTTTTTGTGACCATAATTGTTATATCATTCTAGACTTGTCATGTCCTGGTGTTCTTTTTTGCGATGTTGGTTCGCTACTAGTATTGGCTTTTTCCATCCACACTCGCATAGTTGACCTGATTCTTGGACTGCCATAGTTTGTATATGATGAATATAATACCCGACAGGCAGACCGAGAGTGCTATGCCCCCCACAAACGAGGCCAGATCAAAGTGCTGAGTGGCTCTGTATTTGGGCTGCTGTTTCTGATCCACCTCTTTACCCCCATCGTCTCCTAATTCATCAACTGGGTTGTCGTTTTTGTTCTCGCCTGTAAGGGGAAAACAACCATAACCACCATGATTCCAGGATGAAGAGGATGAGCGTGAATAATAATATTAATAATTTTATCGCAATTGTAACAATTGATTAATAAAAAATGATTTCAAGTTTAAGAAAACCACGCCAGAAATTCACTAAAGCTCCAATTCTCTAAAATCCAAAACGACCAATAATTTGTAGAACCCGCTTCATAATGGGGTCAATCATTTGCAGTCACCTTTTACAGCCGTTTGATCATAAGAGAAGCCTTAACCGGGTATTATCTCATTTCAAAATATGACTATACAGCGATAAATTGAATAGTCTTAGTATACCTACCGACTTCAGTTTCATTTCCAGACAAACCTGAATTGAACTCCTTTTTGCATAAATTATTCATAACACATTTGAAATTAAACAAGAATAGCCGGTTACTAGGCAAATAGCAAATAATCTTCCGACCATAGTCTTGAAAATATAATTTTTTTTCAAACTGGTGTCATTTTTTCTGTATGAATAGAAAAGTTAGGCCTATTAGACAGTCATAGTCAAATAGTCCAATTAGAAAAAAGTTTTTCTAGAAAACTTCAACAAGCTTTTTCTAATGTAATGTTTTTGCGGAACTTTTCGAATTTTTGAAAATGTTATTCCCAAAATGGCGCTAAACACTCCAAGAACTAATTTTACTCGAGAAAAATTGAGTATTCGCGGCTTAAATTAAGCTTGAACAAGCTATTTTATGCATGCACGCTGACCATATAATATGATATATAACTCGACCCATTCCGATGATTATGCGTGGTACCTAATTTTACGTGGTAAACAAAAAAACTAAAACACGAATACAAAGACCGAGTTCCCCCGCGTTTTTAAATGGTCGTAACAAAAACGCACCTCAAATAGTGGAGTTTGTCGAGTTTTTTGGGTCAACCAAAAATGATTTTACAAGAATTACACAAAACAGAAACACGTCCCATTTTTTTGAAAACGAGCAGATCCTTTATGTTTTTGTTTCGACTTATTGGTTTTCTTCTCTTCAGACGAAGTTCGACTTTTTGAACGGAGTTTTCTACACAGAGGCGAAGCGGAGCAAGCTAGCGAACAGCAAATGAGACGGAAATAACAAAATCGAAGAAAAACCTTGGGAACATGAAAATAATTTCAAACACAGAGGCGAAACTGAGCTTCATAAAAAAAAAGCTTCATTCAATTTTTTTATGTCTCAATGAAAGAAATCTAGGGCCCAACTAAAGCTTGAGATACGGGTCAGAAATTTTTTGACTTGGTTATACTGATGCGGGACGAAACCATTAACTTCAAAAATTGGACTTTGCCCCAAACCTTAGTTGTTTCTCTACTAAAATAAGTTGAAAGAGTGAAATTTTTTTTGAGATTATGGAGTTTTCTCAAATACATAACACTTATCTCACAACAAATTAGAGAGTAGCCGCTTCTGCAGGAACCACTCGCGTGATCGCGCAAGAAACTGGGTGTAGCAAATTAGAAAAGGAAGCTTCGAACAACTTGTTGTGTCGATTAAACCTTTATCAGATTTCGCAGGATAGTTATCCAGAAAAATCTAAAAAATAGCCAATCGAAGATTTGAAAAGAGTAAGGAACGCAAGTAAACATAAAAAAAATTGTGACTTTCTTGAAAAAATCTCAAATTTCGAAGAAAAAAATAGATGCTCTTTCAGCTCCTTGAATTTATGATTGGCGCTTTTTTGATCATATGAACCCATCTGGAGAAAACTGAATCAATAAGTTATGTTTTTATTCCACTGGAAATCTTAAAATTAAATTCCAATTTCAAGACTAGAAATCATTCACGTTTTTTCGCGCCATTTCCACGTTCGTATCTGGAGAGTGCCATGTACGTCCTTTTCAGCAGATGAATTTCAATCGAACTCAAAAAGTGCATATATACCTAAGTGCATTCATAAATGCATCAATATGTATGAATGCACATCTGTAGTTATTAGAGACTTCTTAGACTTTTCCTGGAAAAAAAATCAGCACGACCTGAATAAGAGTCTTCACTACGTTCATTACTCTTAATAACGGTCAACAAATCAAAAAGTTGACATTTCCGAGAATCATAGCTTTTTGTTTTAAGGCGTAGAAATTTATGCAGAAGAGATTCACCTAGCCTGTTTTTTCGAGTGAACCCAAAAACGCAGACTTGGCAGGGCAGTTCTCGAGAAAAAACCAAAAGATATACAAAATGGTTCAGAAGATCATATATTTTTTCTTTTCTGATGACCATAATTTTTTTTGAAGTACTTACATATGCAAAATAGTTTCAACCGGTTCTTTGTATTGAACCCAAAATCTCAGACATGGGAAGGTATTTTTCGGTAAAATTCATAAAAACTAAAAACAAACTCTCAAAAAATCCATAATTGACTTTTCCTAGGACGATTAACTTTTTGGTGCAAAACATTGCTACAAATAATTCAGGGGTCCTTCCCACTACCGTTGTTTTCATTGCACCCACAACCTTAGGAATGTAAGGTGAGTTCTCGAGAAAAGTAGAAAAGATTCAAAAACGATAAAAAAATTTTTTAAAAAAATTCAAAATTCCGAGGGCCATAACTTAAAGTGCAAAAAAAAGTTTGAAGATTGAGGGTAGACGCTCATAAAGGGGAGCTTCTTCTTCATTCTATGCAACCAGAACTTCGGATTTCGTAGGTTATTTTTGAGAAAAAGAAAGAAAAATCCAAAACATTGGTCAAACATTTCCCCACAGACGTTTTCGAAGGCTGTAGACAAAGGGGTAAAACAAAAAAAACCAGCGGAGTATGCAGGCACACATGAGTGTAAGTCTTTCTATGGATACCCTCTTTTGAAAATCAAACAAGAATTCCAGGCGAACATTTCAATCGAGACATTTGAAATTCAAATTAGTAAATGAACAAAACTTACGAAGCGGAATCAAGTCCGACAATCTTTGAGCAGACACCAATTGAGCCAAAAAAAATTGTAAAAACTTAAAATTTCAGGTCCCCCTAGAAACTACCCAGTAAAAACTAGTACCTAGTTAAATTTGAGTTTTCAAGATATTTCGCGTGTCAGCTGCATTGCATCATCAAAATCGCCTATATGATCAGTACTAATTGAACTTGAATAAGTGTTTCAATTGATTTCGTTAAACTAGTTGTTAACCCGAAAAAATCTACACGCGGATTTGATACCGCTTACTTATCGCAAGCGTAAGAAACAGTCAAAAAACACAACCACCAGTCTTAAAAGGTTTTAGTTTTTACCGAGCGGCCAAGGGAGCAAAAAAGTAACTTTGAAATCTTGCAGCACAAACTACCTGAAATCATTCATTTTTGTTCTTGAAGCTTCACAAAATAAAATTACTCGGCCGATAAAACATGAGCCGACACAATTAAGGCAAACTAAAACTTTCAAGGAAAAAAAACAAGTAAAAGGAAAACCGAGGAAAAATTACAACGTCGTGGTTATAAATTTTACAAATTAGAGAAGTAAAACTAGAGAAGTAATTTAAAAACACTTGTATCTATGATGAAAAAAGCTGACAGCGCACAAAAATTCCCCGATGAAGCAACTAAGCCGAAAAAACATAAGCAGATAAACGACAGTCCGACTATTAAATTTTTCCCGGGCAAAACTTTTCAATTTGATTCGTAATGAAAAAACAAGCTCCGACCGTGACTCGAACTCCAAATCTTAGGGTACAAATGCGATACATCTCGTGCTTCTAATGCGTAAGCGACCATTTAACCTGGCTCAGAAATCGCTCCAACCTAATTAGAGGCAGGCTGTTTGTTTTTATTGATACGTTGCTGGGCGCTTATTATATCACTTTGTACTTTCCATAGCGTGCTGGAAAAAAAATCATTCTTAGACATATCATATTGATCAAAAACTACATTCTTAGACATATTATATTGTTCCGACCAATTTAGCCCGTTCATTCGTGATTCGAACGACATGAAAAATTTTAAACAACTTTCTCAGTGTCGAGAAAAATTGGTTTAATTTTGAACTTTTTGTGCCATTTTGGGCGAAAAGCGAACGACCACGCTTCTTTAGAAAACGCCGTGAACTTTTTTTAAGCCATCAAAACTCCAGTGAAGTTTTCATAGCTTCTTTTTCACCGCCACGTTGCGAACAAAAACTACGCAAGATGATATGATTTTTTTAAACTGGATTCTAATACGATTATTTTACTCTGATTGTCGAATAAGCCTAAGTTCTTAGCTTAAGTTCAGAGACTTTCATCAAACCACGCAGAAAAAACGACACTAATTCGCGTTGATTTTGTATCCTCGTTTTTGTATTTTCGGCTAGCATTGATATTTTTGAATACTTTGGAGATTTTTATTGGTAAGTTTTCATGGCCTACATTTTTGAGTGTACTCGATAGGCCCGGATGCAATGCCATTACACAGCTGCTCAACTGCTGTCATGGCTTGAAATAGTTAGGTTTTCATGGCCTACATTTATGAGGGGAACAGATAGGGGCAGATGAAATGCCTAGTTTTTCATGGCTAGGTTTTCATTGCCTAGAAATAGCTAGGTTTTCATGGCCTACATTTTTGAGTGTATTCGATAGGGGCGGATGCATTGCCATTACACAGCTGCTCAACTGTCACATTCTGATTGCACTTCTTATCATCTGAAACAGACAACAAAAATATAAAAAACTTCCTGAAACTTCACAATCGAAAGCCACAAACTTGTCTGTAACATTAAACGAAAATACTTTTTAAAATCTTCACTTTTATACACCAACTTGCGCGTTGCACTTATAAATAGAATCCCAAATTTTACCTCACAATTTCCCGCACATCAATCTGATTGGTTGAACACTAAGTAGAAAATTGCATTGATCTTAAATAATCAGTGCTCCGGCATGAAAGAACAGCAATGCGTTGTAAAAGTTGTTTGTTTACTGTTTGTTTGTTTGTAAAAACAGTAATTGTTTGTGTGTTATCATATTTCATATTTGAAATCACAAACCACGAGTTTACAAACAGATCCAATTTTTCAATTACTTGTCATTCAAAACTCAACGACAAAAAAAAACATATCCCATGGAGCTAATTGTTTTCGGCACGGTTATTTACTACCTGCTAGCGAGTTTAACCCATCCCTATGTTGCAAACCCATTCCGCTCTTAGGAAGAGATAAGAAAAAAAACTAAGAAAACATATCACATATTTTTCTGCTTTTAATTTCTGCAAAAAATTGTAAGATAACTTATTTATACCTCAACAAAAACTTATACGACTTAGTAATAAAACAAGGATAGTAAGAAAACAAGGATTAACTTCAAGGTCGATAGTTATTTAGAAACGATTATCTTTCCTTGTAACACGTTTCACCCCTCCTTCTATAGTAAGAACGACAGTGAAGGGTAAAATGGTTTTAACTAACCTCCTGGTAGTTTGCAGGAGAAGAACGCACAGCCTGCAGTTTTCAGACAGTCGTTGCACGTTGTATGTGTGGTGCAATTGTTTGATGTTGCATTGAATTGGTTTTCCGATTCCTGGACCGTTGTAGTGCCCAGGATCACCATACATGCTGAAATTTGGCGATTACTTCAAATTAAGACAATAGCAAAAAAATTTCAGTTCCTTTAGCAAAGATTTAGCAGTTAAGCATGACCATAATTTAAAACAGGAGAAAATTGAATCTTAGGTAGTTTTCTGTTAGTAACTGTCTTGTCTTTAGGAATATTTTCAGAGGCAAACTTTCCAGATAAGATAGCTGTCAATTAGGGGTTAAAACTTACCCAATAGACTTCACACAAAAGTATGCTCAAGCAATAAAATAGTTGTGAAAAAATTTGATAAAAGGACTAATTAACGATTCGAAAAAAAGATAAGTGGCTACGTTTTCTATGAACGCAGCAGTTCTACTTGTTTTTATGTCAACCACACCGATTGAATACATTGCTTGATTCAGCTGTGGATAGTAGCCAAGATACAATTTTAGTGGGATCACTAACCCAAGGATAGCTGGAGAAACACCACCAATTGCAGATTCATTTTCTCTGAGTGAGTTTTTCGCCGTTGATTACCAGGTTGACAGCTTACTTGGATATTTATTTACATATCAGATCTGAAAAATTAAGTAAGAAATCAATTGACATGAATCGTCCCTCCAAAAACTATGGATTGTCTTTTTTGTCGAGGAAGACTAACTCTCGGTAATTGTTCAATCTATTTATCGGTCGATTGTGAACCAATCATCTCAAGTTCAAAAGGAAGGCTTGATTAATTATTTTTACTGACAAGTCGCTAGAAAACATTCGAAAAACGATGAGATAGACATGCTCATAAAAGTGAGAACTTATGGAGACTCAAGTCAGTAAGTTTTCTGGTTGTGGAAAATTTTTCTCAATATGATGACAATCCAAGAAAACTGCAATTTGAGTTGAAATAAATTCTAGCAACTTTGAGATGATTTGAGGCCCCAGCTAAGCATAATAGAATGTAAAACGTAATAATTGCGGGTAAAAAGCTTCAGACGGTTTATGACAGAAAGTGATTAGAGTCAATGTCTTCAGGCGAATCATTCAGTTATACTAAATTCTACAATTGAAATCAGTTATAACTCGACACAATTTTCTATCAAGGTTTAAAGGAAAGCGTCCAAATTTTGTTGACCTCAAAAAGAGAGATAAATTAAAGGTTATTCGCATTTCATTATACTGCCTAAATCAAAAATATAATTTCAAAACTTTGAAAAAATCAATTTCATCCGGATTTATACATATCATTGTCTGTATACTCTGGCTCAAGAATAAGACTACAACTCCAGAGTCGTAGTCTGATCACCGTTTTGCATCCCTGGCGGTGGCGCTAGTGGACCTCGTTTTGGTGACGTCGAGTCGGACGGGGGTGGTGCGATAGCCACAATTGGGGCGTCATGTACGGGATTCGAACTCACAGCAGTCGACTTTGTGACCACAGAATGCAAGTCCGGGTGCGCCGAGGCGGGGTCAATTTCGCTGGTTGCGATTTCTCCGACATTTTCAAGAATGATGTCAGTGTCGCTTTCAACTTCATCACTGCCACCCTTCATTTAATAAACAAACTTAGTTACCAATTATAGAATTTTAAATCTAGCTTTTGAGGTGCCAATAGCATACGTTTTTTTGTTTTCGGGAATAATCAGAATACATGTATTTTGGCGAACTGCCGTAAATGAAGTAATTAGAGTTTTATTAAATTTTTTTTCAACTTTAAGAGACCATTGATAAGACATAAAATGAACAGCAAGATAGAAACTTAAGGTTATTGATGAAAGGGACAGAATTGATAGGGCCCCTTTGCGTGCGAAACTTGAAGTTGCGAGTGCCTTTAATTGAAATTTAGCTCAAGCAGAGGGCTTTGGTCAAAGGAGAGCCAATATGCTTTACATTCCTCGAAAATGATTATATTTTGAGTAGATGACGCACGTATTAATTATTTCCGAATATCCACAGGCCCTATAAAATGCGATCAATTTTTTTGATGACAAAAAGATGACATCAATGATTGGAATAACTTTAGAACAATACCGTTGACGCTTCTAGTGTCCCGAACACTAATTGTGCCCTTTTCCGGTAGATCTGTCAAAAGTACAATTTAGACAAAAAATCAGCTCTCCCATCAAGGTTGTGTACACTTTTCATTCACTATATTTTTTTATTTGTATCATTCTCTTAAACAAACCTACCTTAACATCTGCGTTTATTTTATAGTAACTTAAGTAAACAGATTTCCCAAAGAAGAAAATAGGAAATCAATAGACCTCATTTTGGTCGAATTTTGAAAAAACTGAAAATATATTTAAAAAGCCAAAAAATGATGATAATTGAGTGATAATTTTTAATTCCGATTGAGAATTGTACGCAATTTCGCGTAAACACTATTTGTTTTTGAAGCAAAAAAAAACAAGAATTTTCGGTAATTGCTTAGTTGATTGTTTGCTCAGCACCATTTAAAATGCCGCGCTTGGGGAACTTTTTTTTTGAAATTCGACATCAATTAAAATGTGCAATTTTGTCAATTTATGTTTCGCCAATGTGAGTTAAATTACTTATCGAAGATTTTGGATGAAAAAAAAACAGAATTTAAAATGAGGGACGGTAAATAAGACGGCAACAAGAATGAACGTCTCTAATAAAACGGAATTTGAACGTTAACTTTTTATAGCATTACTAAAACTATGGATAAAAAGAAAAAGGCCAACAAAATAAATGGCTTTAAACAAAGCCAACATCAACTTGAAAAACAGTCATGAACGCAAAAAAAAACAGAAAAAAAAATCTGACTTAATTTTGAAAAACATAAATTTTGAAATTCAAAGAAAGAAAAAGCTCTTTGAATTTAAAGAATTACTTATGATTGACACTTTTTTGAGAAAACTGGATCAATAGGTAAACTTTTAATTGCCCTGAAAAATAAATTCCACTTTCGAAAATGGAAGTTGATCACTTTTTCTTGACCTTTGCTTTTGCAGCTAGATAGTGGAGTTTGCCTACTTTTCAACAAATGATACGAAGTGAACTTTAAACACACACAGAGGCGAAGCGGAGCTTCGAATTACTTGCGATGCAACACAATCGCAGCATTGCAAGCTAGCAACTAGTAAGGAACGGAAATAACAAAATTGGACAAAAAAAACTAGCCATGTTTTAACTAGCCATTTTGAACGAATGTTTCGAAACAGAAGCAAAAAGGAGCAAGCTAGCGAATAGAAATTGAGACGGAAATATTAAAATTGAAAAAAAAAATTGGGAAAATGAAAATAAGTTCAGAAAAACACAACTACCATTATTAAATAAACTTTAAGAATTTACCAAGCGGCTACTAAGGCGACAAAATTGTTAAGACGCCCATTGAGCCGAAAATGCCATCAGAAAATGATGTCAAAAAAATGGAAAAATTTCGAACAATTAACTTTGAGGACTTTGAAATCTTGCAGCTTTGAAGCTTTACAAAACCCTTGAAGCTTCACAAAATAAGGTAACCAAGCAGATAAAACATAAGTTGACACCATTTAGGCCAAATAAAGCTTTCAAGAAAAAAACTAAAGAGCAAAACAAAGGAAAACATACAAGATCATGACTATAAGTTTAACAAATTACAATGTAAATCAAAAACACTCGCATCTACAGCACAATAAGAATTCCCCGACGTGGCATCTAAGCCGACCAAAACATAAGCAGACAAACGAAAGTCCTACAAATCAATTTTTCCTGGAAAAAATTTTCAAATTCATACAAATTGAAAAACCAGCGACCTCGAGATTTGGAGTCTTACGTCCCTTTCAGCCACGGACGATTAACAACAGTTAAATACTAGCTACACGTAAAGCAGAAACTACTTATTTTGAAATTTTCGTTGCTACAGACCAAGCTTATAGCAAAAAGGCCACCAAATGAGCAGTTTTGTTTGCGATTTAGGTTGGAAAAAAAGTACAGTCATACTAATACACTATTCTTGCTAGTGTAACAAAACATTAATCCGAACGAGACTACATGTATCAAAGAGATGCACTGATCTTTCTGACTGCCCTTTAAATCTACGACGTATGTTCGATTTAGAAAAAATGATTTAAGTATCCAAAAATTATTGTCCAATTTCACCTGAAACCAAAAGAAACCGAATCATCACGACAATATTTATGAATATATCGTAACCTGAGTTTCATGAGACAATATCTATAAATATACCGTAACCTGGGTAAAAATAACGTGTGTGTCTGTGTGTGTGTGTGTATGTGTGTAAGTGTGCGTGTGTGTGTGTGTGTGTGTGTGTGTGTGTGTATATACCGTAAAATTTTCATTTAAATAAGATTTTGTCATGTTTTTTTTAACATTTTAACAAAATCGGATTAATGCATGATTACTACTTTACTAACGTAAACAGCGTCCCTTGTAGTTCCATTTTGCGTTGATTTCCCGTACGCAACCTGTTCTTCTTCCCTGTCTCTATTGTTACGCCTCGCGTGTCCTCCTCTATCGTCGTCACGTGACTTAGAGAAGTACCTCACTATAGGCTGACACCATGGCTGTGGGAAGGTCAGGTACAAGGGGTGTCCTTGGTTCACTGTCAATATGGGCTTGATGTACTTTCGGTCGAAGTCGTACCAGGAAGCGCTGATCGGGTGCATATTTTCCTTCCGCTGCGAGTTCACAATCCGCGGTTGAATCCTCTCGCCGTCGCTCTCAATTGAACCCATTGCGAAATGCTTATCCTATCAAAATTAACATCAATTAATATCGATTTAAACCATGAGAAAGCTTATCAAATACAACTTTTGTTTCAACTTTCAGTTTAAACTTGGCAAAATGTGCATTTAATGTTCTCGCAAGGCTGTTTTACAGAAACATTAGCATTATTATTTTTAGATAGTTTTAGAAGACACTATATTTGTCAACTGTAACGAGATTATTAGCCGAAAAAAGCTAGATATATTTTTGACAAGCCATGTTACATTGTTGAAATTTTCATCGTAGTGCTGGGATGAGTTGGCGCCCCCGTTGGACAAAGTGTTGACATTTGATGCATTACTTCCGCCACTTACACCGCTTCTGTGACTTGAATCATCAGCAACGGAGGAGCTGTCGTCTTCTTTCACGCCAACCCTATATTGACATACTTTGCAACATACTAAATCAAAACATTTTAGCAGTTTAAAAGTTTCTTAAATTCATGACAAAATGAGTAAATAAATTGAATTTTAATTTGAAAGAAAGTTTAAAATATCATTCTAGAACTTCGAGAAAAATTTTAGCGGTACATTAGAAAAAAGTTTTCACCCGACAGATCATTCTGAAAATCTGCCTTAATGCAGTTCCAAAATGATTTCGCGCCACTTACGCCAAAAATTACCAGCACGCGATTGCGACCAAGTCATGACTTCGTTATGGAAACACTAGCATTTCATACAAAATTATTGACTAACCGAATATGTAGCAACTCGAGCACTTTGGTGGCGAATGAGCCACAACAAATGACTGTGATTATGACTATCAGCAGAGTAGTGGTGAGCATGGACTGTCTAGCACTTGTGGAGGTGTTCCGGATGGCCAGTGCGAACGCTATTGCGCCTCGCAGTCCTACAACATTAAGGAAGTTGAGAAATGATCCTTCGGTCATTTTCTCTGAAAATTATTACTAAAGACGAACAGAATAGTACTGTATTCAACACTAAACAGCAATCAAATTTTAAATAAGATTTTTATGCCACATAACATTGATATATGTACTTTATGTCTAAACGTTTCGAAGACGATGAGTTCGGTTGTTTAATGAGTTCAATTGTTTAAAATAAAAAAATTCAACTTTCGAAGTTGAGAAATATCCTTCTAATAATTCACAACTGAGTTGTAACCTGAGAACATGAGCATGTGTTGGAAGTTGAAGGATATCTTGTGTGGCTCCCTCCTCGCTAGATTGATGAGGAATGTGAGTGGGTATATGTTGGCTGCCCTGCCTACAATGATGCCAACCAATGCCCCCAGAATGAACATGTAGTTCCACTGGTGGGAGGGGAAGGAGAACACTGTGATGCCCATGTACAGGAAGATGAAGTTCTCAGACAGGAAGGAGAGGAACTCGAACAGCTAAAAGCACACACGCAAAAAAAATATTTAAATTGCAAACAGCTGAATTGAATGGGTTAAAGTATATGAAATCCTTCTATAGAAAGTTTAAATTTTTTATGGAAGAAATATTTTTTATGGAAGAAATATTTTTTATGGTGTCCAGTTAAAAAAAATTCGAAACAATCAATCACACGGTTTAATTAAAGCACTACCTTGCATCCAATAACTTTTCATCAATGAATTTAAATTTGATTTTGAGTGATTTCATTTTTTTCCAAGAAATCAGGATTCAACCGGTTAATTCAAACCGGTTAAACTAAAGAAAAAAATAACCGCTCTATGCGTAATTAAAATTGAAACCAAATCAATTTCTACTTCAGGTAGTTTGATTCGAACCATCGATTTTACGGAACTTGAGTACGAACCTGTTTAGTTTGTCGTCTGGACTCGAGGGACAGATTGTAGTAAGTGTAGTGAGCTTGAGTCACGCCGCAGAAAAGAAGAGATACGATACCTGAAATAAATCGAAGATGTTATCAATTAATCAAAGCCAACTGACTTGTTGCCATTGATCTAACCAGACAACTATTAACTTTATCAAATACAATATATTTTATGGTTACTGCTGATGTTTTATACATTTGAGGATATTCAGCTTGTTGCAATACAATTGAATGAGGTGAATAAAATTTTCCAGTGAAAAATCGATGGACAAGGAGGACGGCAAAAGAGCTAACCAAATTCATATTTACACCATAAAGCGAAAAAATCTGAAACGGCGAAATGGATCTTCGCATTACTTGTAATAGATGATGCACAGAAAAAACAATTTAAAGCAAAAACTACAGCATATTTCAAAACCTACATTTACCACTCAAATACGAAATATCACGAAAATATCTCAAACACACATTATTCAAAAAACTCGTTCAACAAATTCAACCCAGAGCTAATAGTTTGTGGTGAAAAAAGAATTTTCGCAAAAACCAGACTTCCATTATTTTTTACAAAGGTTCTTATGACTGCATTATTGAGACAGAAGAAAATGGTCAGATAATACAACTTGAAAAAAAAATCATAATAGAAAAATTTTTAACTTCATGTATGCAAAACCGGCAACCATGACACATTTTTCCGACGACGGACGCTACATAGTACAGTCTCAGAATCAATAGCTTCAATTTGAATTAATTACAAAGAACATCACAGATTACTTTAGAAAAAATTCAAAAAAAATGTTTGTTCAAAAAAAACATGCCGAGTCAAATTTTGCCAATTCAAATGCCATTTATGTCACACTTCATGACGTTTATCGTTATAACAGCAACAAAAAATTTAACGAAAAAAAGAAAGCCAGATAAAAATCCCAAGAATGGAGGCAGATTCGGCATAACAAATATGTTTAACAATATTTACAGAAAATGGTTTTTCAGTTTCTGTTAGAATGAATTTTTCTCGAATAAAACTGATGAAAACAAGACTAAAACTCAGCAACTAATTTTCAATGAAGTATGAAAAAATCGATAGAAAAAAACTAAAACTAAAAACAAAAATAAGGTTTTTCAAAGTTAATCAGATCATTCGAAATCGATCGAATAATTAGAATACATAATTTGTAACTTAAACGCAGACTGTTTTCTAATACAGACTGAGCAATTTAGTTTGTAAAAAGCCATTATTTTAGCCGGAAACGGTTAAATCGAGAGGAAAACATTTACTTCATGTTTAATAGACTATAAATTGAAAAATATATTTTTATTTGATGTAGTTGACTTTTTACAACAAAATCAGAAACTAAGGCTACAAGTCGAAAAAAATGACAAAAATTTCACAGCTTTATAATTTAGCGCTGATATATTGGGTCTTTTAAATTTTACCGCTAATATTTTTACAAAATCCTTTCAAAGGACCCATGTTTCATAAATATTCCAGCTGACAAAAAACCAGGACGCAAGTTTTCTGCAGGCATATTTGACGTCGCGTATTGGCAATTTAAAAATAAGCAACGCAATAATTTAAGTCTTTACCAAGTTCACCCAGAAAACATTTGATACACATATTTTCCAGATTGCCTGAAGATGACGCAAAAACCAATTCAACCAACTATCGACCAAGATCATTATTGCCAGCAAGCAAGCAAGCAATAAGGAAAACTGCAGAGAGAGCTTTAAATAACAGGCTGACGAAATTCCTTGCCAAAATCCCAAATCCAAGGAATGTGCAAAATCTGTTCCGAAGCAAACGCGAAACAATTGATGCAAGAAACAGACATCTAGAAACAGAAAAAAGAATAATCTGGTTTCTGTTTATCATCATAAAAATCGGTGAGGAAAAATAAAAGTTGAAAAACAATTGAAATTGGTTATGTGAAATTTAAAATTTTGAAACGCCTGAAAACAGACGATTTGGGTTTAATGGCGATTACCAAAGCGATCAGCATTTTATAAAAAAAAGAGTATATAAAAAGTTAGATATGTTTTGAAAACAATTTATTATTATTAAATCTGTGAACAAGTTTGCAACTGGAAAAAAGGCTAATACAAATACGCTGTTGCAATACACTTGCTTTGGCAAGTTTAAAGACAAAAAAGAGCGCCTCATAATGATTAGACACACCCCTCCGCAATCACGTGAGTTTTGGTTTCATGTTCTAGCAAATTGTGTTCAAAGACTCCTTTCACCTGTGAATCCGACACTCTCCGCAATCAAGTAAGAGCAATGGGACAAAATCAGAAAGAGACTCGTCTCAATCATCGGGTGCTGGTGAAGAGAGCGCATGAATTTGGTCAGAAATGCAGTTATGACCCCTATCAGAACACCCAGGGCCCAGGAACCCACGAAGATGGTGACGAAACTTCCGAGCGCATTCAGAGCGTCGAGGGCCGAGAACGAAATAGTTTTTGTCATTTGCTCATTAACAGACCTACACAAACACGTACACAACATCAGGTCAGATACAAGTATTGACTAATCAAAATGATGCAGATATAAGTATGTTTCTGTCATGATAACAAAAAGATAGAACCCACAATTAACTAGCAGAAATTGGATCACTACTAAAATCTAAAGTGCTTTAAGCTTATGACTAATTAGCGATGAATAAAAGGGTACATTTAAAACCCGCCACGTGAAATGTTAACTTAAGTACCAATTGTCAGTCAATGCTTTTGATGACCATGAAAACAGTTCAATAGATGCAGATGGTGAAGCTTCAACTCAGAATACTTTTTATTTTTACTCATGTTATTTTATTCACAAATTCAATTTTTAACACAAAATTCTAAGATGAACCAATAAGGTGCCTTTTTTCTCCCTAATTACTCTGATAAACAATAAGAATAGACTTATTTCATTACAGCGTCAACATGCATTATAGCTATATCGCACAGTTTTATTGTAAAAATTTAATTAGTTAATGGTAAAAATTCGGCATTAGTTTGAGACATGCAACACGAATCTTTATTTAGCTTCATTCCGTTTACAAAAAAAACATAAGCATTGTTTTCTTCTAATAAAAATACCCGGTTTTCAAAAATTAAAAGCGGAAATTCGAACATAATACTCTACTAGCAATGCAACATTCATAATTTCACTAGGCATACGCTATACTAAAAATAGTTCGGTTGTGCTGATTAATTAGTTACCAACCCAGCTGAAGAATTCAGACTTGAAGAGGAAGCAGTATCAGAATACTTATATTCCTGTGTGCCTTCAATAGTCCTGTTGAAATAAACACAACAAAAATATACACAACCCCTTAACATAGAATCATCAAACACATCTGATTCAATAGATCTGTTAATGTTTATTTGGATCAAGTTAACAAACAAGCAACCTAGGGGGAGGAGTTCAACTCAGTTGTAAACTGGAATTTTCAACCAAGAAGAATTTTGATCCAAACCTCAAGCGAGCGTAAAATCTTCGGGGTGAGGAGGATGTTACTTTGATCTTTCAAATGAAAATAAAAACTTGACTAAATACAAAATACAGCAGCCTGCAGCAAATTAGATTCAGTTTGGGTGCTAGTTTCGCGTGTATAAAATGAAAACCAATTGTTATCGTACTCTGGATGAATGGACCAGCTGACATGAAATTGTAACAAACTTGGTCCAATTTGACAGATTTAACTTTGCGCTCAAGCCACTAGAATAGTACCTTTCCATGTTCGCGAAGTCGCGAAAAATGCTTCAAACAAAATATTTTACAATCAAATGGAAACAAATATTTGAGCAAAAAACTTTTGAATTTTTCGCAATATTTTCGACAACTTGAGAAAACGTAAAGCTTATTGCTGAAAATGTCTATCTCACCTAACACTTTAAATGCAATTTGCCTCATCCTGATATATACATACTCTTGATTTAACTGATTAAGCATCTCAAACTTACTCTGAGAGGACGATAGCAACTGCATCATTCAGAGCACTCTCTCCGAACACGAGTGAGTACAGGTGCGGGTCAACTCCGAGGTCACTGAAGAGAGCGAGGACGGTCACCGGGTCAGTGGCTGAGATTATGGCACCGAAGAACAGACATTCTAAAACATTCTGGTAAAAAGTATATGTGACGAGGTCACACAAACAAGGAAAGCGAGTGGCTGCGCGAGTAGCACAGAATGCTCCGACTATATGTATTAAAAACCGTTCATTTTTTTTAAATTAGGGCCGTTTTTTTTGCGTGGTTTGATAAGAGAACTATGCAATCACGTAGAAAGCTAGTGAATAAATATAAACGACAATGTTTTCTTCAAAATAATAACGATCAAAAAAATAACATTTTTTAAGCAATAATTTAAAAAAAAAATTGATTTTTTTTGCAAAGGAGCGCTAAATGAAGATTCTCTCATTTAGCGCTAAAAAATAACAAGTACTCTTAAGCTAGGGTACGACTTTTCTTAAACCGAACGTTACTCGATTGTTATACTTGCTCAATATTTGACTAAAATTAAAAAAATTCAAACCGGTTTTTATCGACTCTGCTATGATATATCAATCGACTCATTCCGATGATTATTTGTGATACCTGATTTTGCGCGGAAAACAAAAGAAAAAACTAAAACACCCGAAGACAAAATCTCCCCCCCCCCCCCCACCCCTCATTTTCAATGGTCGGAACAAATTAATTCGAAATTGAGCACAATTTTTGCGCTAATTGACTTCGCAATTCAAAGACAAGAAACATTTTTAAAGATGTATTGAATGGTTGACTAGAGAATGTTGTGTCATGTGGCCACAACTAGTACACACCATTTAGCTACAAAAATGATGAAAATCAAGACACTAAAAAGATGGAAAACGACTAGAACCGATCTTTTAACAGCGCCTACTAGGATCATCCGATTTTACCTGCGAAGCTGAAGACCACTGAAGATTGGATTAGAGAAACGGCGTAAGTTATAGACCTTAAAAACAAAAACAGCCATGAGTCATCATGTGGCAAATTATATTTTAATAACAATTTACTTGAATGATTACCCGACAACAAAACTAGAGATTGTAGTTCCAACAAACGAATAGACAAGAATAGAGCCAAAGTTACTGAAGAAATGCACCTACATAAAACATCAAACAATATAGAACACCAAAAAAAGGCCGAGAAACATCAATCATACTCCAAGAACTAAATTTACCTTCTTCATGCTGAAACCGGCATTGAATATAATAGGAGGCAGAAACACGTTGAAGAATATTTCAGGGTCGAAAGTCACCTAAAAAAAATCAAATTAAATCATCCACGCCTGAAAAATATTTTCAAATTTCTTGAGCCCATAATTTCATAATCCATTCAATGGCAATCGCAATGGCGAAATTCAACAATCCTGGACAGATTCTGGAGTTGTTAGTAAATTGGATTAAAATTTCAGCATGACACTTTCACAACGCTATAGAGAGCCTAAATACGTATAGCATAATTGGCTCTCTTCCTCGCATTTGAAAATAATTCCAGATACCGTCCGTGATTGTTGTTTCTCATGAACATTATCTGCTTTAGAAGCATTTTTATAAATTATCACTTAGGGTAAAAAACAATGTATACTTGAATGAAAATCGACGATTATGATTTGCATTCAAAGCAGCTGAAATAAGCAGCGAGTTGAAGGTTCAACATTTTCAGTCCATTTTCGAGAATGAACAATTGATTCAGGATATAATTTCAGAGAATCTACGAGACAGATAATTACTTTGTCTCTGAGAGTGCCAGTGAGAGTAGACACCTCCGACTCAATCCTGTAGGCCCAGGTACTAAAGTTTACAATCTTCAAATGAATAATATCGGGCGGAACATCTAAACTTTCATTCGCAAACACAGGCGGAGTTTCTTCCAAGCTGTTTGTGGGAGCACCATATCGTACAATTGCACCCACGATTATCCCTTAAAAATAGGGGACAAATTATCGTTGTTGAAGAACCACGCTTGAAATGACATTTGCAATATTTGTATACGCTGATAAAACTAGAAGACCTATTTTTTTTTTGATTTTTTCAATATTTCCTATATCTACAATCAGATTTTTCGATATCGAAGTTTCTTTTTAATGATTTTCAAATTTTCCGATTTCTCACCATAAATTAAAGACAGCCCTGTCTCGTGAACATATCTCCATGACTTGTGCTTCAGAAACCAAATGGAGAATAGAGTGATAATGAGTAGGAAAGAGAACACAAGGAGAGATAGAGAATCAGTTTTATGTGATCTTTCTGCCCATTCTTGTCTCCTTATCTCTAATTCTTCTTGCAACTCTTCGTCGACTGAATGGAAACACGGCAGCTGTGTCAGCAAAATACAAAAAATTATCCTGTTTATGTACATACTGCTCATTTCTACGGCTAGTAATCAACGCTGAGCCAATTCATCTGAAACGAAGAAATCGTACTTTAGAAAGCATTAACACCAAAGCCCGGAAAAAGTATTTAGTCATTTCTTAAAAAGAGTAAACTTATAATCAAGTTAAGCCGAATGGACATTTACATGAAAGAAAAACAGAACTATTATCAATTGCACAAGGAAGAATCAAATCATTACTTGTTCTACAAATCTCATTACTTTCGTAGTAGTATAATGTTTATTTAGCCGCTTGTTTTCGAAGCAGCTCGTAAACCTGGGTTTTGATCCAGTCCTTGTCATACGGAGCATACAGTCCATACTCTTTTTCCAACAGGAAACAACTGAGGTCGGGTAGTTGGTCGATGAAATCAAAGAGCTGAGAGATATCGTATGTGATGGTAGGCTTGGTAGGATTTGTTCGCTTCAGATGTTCTTCAAACGTCTTGCATATACCTTCTAAGGCTTCATCCAGACAGTCATAGTCCGAAAATGTCTTCGAATCGGATCCCCTGCCAGTTTGTATGAGTAAAATTGTATGTGCATTAAGATTGACAGGTTTACTTCGCGCGGATCGATTCATCTTTCTGAAAACTTGACAATTAATTATCTGCAGACTTCAATCAAGCCGACAAAAATTCGAACAATGTACTTCAACATCTACGATGCTACATGTGTAATTGCCTTTATCTGTTTTTAACAAATCAAAAATTCGCATCAGGTGTTGTGTTCAGATAAGTCGCGTATTTGCGGTGGTTCATGTTCTATTTTTTCCATGTCTGCTATGAGGTTTGCAAACAGAAATGCAGAAGAGACACTTTCGAACTTGTCAACACGAATGAAAAATGCCGAGACTGTAAATAAGGCAGAACTTCGCTATCCTTAATGCCATCAATCTCTTATCTTATCCCTTGTTGGCCTCAAATGAAAATCTTAATCTATTTCTTCCAATGCTAATGTTCACATGGGTGGTTATACACAAGTACCAATCTTATAAATACATCCAACATAGACAATTCTATCTGTGCTATAATCGAGGAGGGTACATTTTAATTGACAATTCTCTTGATGCATTAATATCGACTTATTCATTTGCCGATGTATTTATATAGCGTTGGTATGGCCCTATCCAACCTGTGCACGTACCGTCGCACGATGGAAGGGCCCATTTTAATAGACCACTTTTTTATTCAGAAACACCAAAATGATAAATCAGTCCCATTTGTACCAAAATAAAAAATCAATCGCGTTAGTACCAAAAATATTCATTTGGCCTAAGACTATTAAGCCGACTACTTCAAGCTCTTGGTTTAAGGTCACCGGTGGTCGCGCTACGCGCGCGTCGCCCCTTTAAGGCGATAACCGGCTCTAATTTTGGTATATTCCTACCATCTGTTGGCAAGCTCGCAACACGCTGGCGCGACTGCGGCGGTCACTTTTCTGCTGCTTAGTTTTCTTCTGTTTGAACAGTAGAAAATTAATGTAATAATTCGTTGGCTCGCAATTCGACTAATCAGAAATCGAGTTGAATAATTTTGGTACAAATGGGACCAATTTCTCATTGTGTTACAAATGACCGTTTGTACAAATGGGACGTCACCGCTCACAAGCTTCTACCAAACCACTAATTTTGATTAAGGATCACATTTAAAAAATATTGGACACAAGGACGAAGCTGAGCTTCACATCAATTGCGATATAGCGCGAGTGCAGCATTGCAAGCTTGAACTTGCGAATAGAAAATGAGACGGGAATAACAAAATTGTAAAATATTTTTAAAGCAATTTTTTTTGATGAAAAATGAACATAATATCAGAAAACACAAACCCATTTTTTCAATGAGCTTTTAGTTTTCCCGAGCGGACAATAAGCCGAAAACGATTGAGATGACACCCATTGAAGTAATCAGAAGGTCAAAAGTATCATAGTAACCGACGTTACAGTCAAGAGTCCCTTCATCACGTATTCCAGTCAAATTCCTTGGAATTTTCTAGATATGGAAGTGATAATGATAAAAGAAGATGACAAGTGTTGAAATCTTTTTCAATTAAAATCGATACGGGTTGCGTTTCTTCAATAAGAACACGCAACTCGATACGAGAAAATATAATACACAAGTGTTACAAATAAAAATTTCGTCGAGTTATTTTGTCATATATTGTGCCGAGTACGCAAGCGGCTTTTGCAATCTGTATTGCCAGGGAGATTCTCTGTTTTAAAAAGCTGCCTGCTCTGGGTTCCTCAGTGCATATGCTTAGGTTCTTACAAAGCTTGCTCAAAAAAAATTATGTGCTGGGGCCGGCCGGGCCCTGAATCTCAAAAGCTAGCGGTTGAAAAAAATATCCATCATCTAAAAGATCTTTAAAATTGTCAATTCTTCGCTCTTCCGCATCAGCGGCAGCCGTACCAGGTTTACAAACAAACCCGGCATTAACCCTACAAGGAACTAAGGAGTCTACTACCGTTACATCCCAAAAAAGCTGCTTACAAACAGCCCATGGAACGAGCGTCAAACCGTCTTGTCGCTTCTGATCGTTCATGTAGAGGTGTCGTGGTTCTAAAACAGACGAAATGTGAGTAGAAGATAAATGGCATTCAAACCTGACCTGCTTCATAGGCTCTAGGCATTCAAACCAGACCTGCTTTATAAAGGTATTCAGGTTTGAATGCCTAGAGAATCTCCCTGCACCTTTGATATAAAAAAGACCATGCCAACCATCCTCGGTAACGTCTTTTCCGCACACTGAACCGAAAACAAAGCCATTTCGAGAAATTGTTGTCATAAAAATCTTTGAGCTATTTGCTTCGAAATCTTACAACACAACAGCTTTTTTTCACGAAAATGTCACGGCTAATAATTTTACAAATCAGAGAATTAAATCAAAAACACTTGCATCTACGACCAAAGCAAAGAATTACAGCTCAGAAAAATTACCCGCTCTCGAAACAAAGCCGACAAAACTAATTATACAAACAATAGTCTAAAAACTCAAAGTCCGGTCCGGACCCGATGCATACATTAAGGGTATATAGTGAACGATGTACCCTCTAGGACAAGTGGAAAGGAGTCTTGAAGATGCTAAGGTTCACTAATAAAAACAACTATACAATTTCTTACAGATTAGTATGGAAACTTTTGAAAAAGTTCCCGAATACGAGACTCTTGCTCTCGCAAGTTTGAGTTCTAATATTTGGGTGAGTTTTTTCTGCTAAAACGACCTATCACCTGGATCGGTTGCCTCAAGTTTTTAAAATTCGCCCGGAAGTACAAACAGATGGAAAGTCTTTGGAACGTCTCTTTCGTGGCTAATTCAACATGCCTCTCCTTACATTGGGTCGACAAAAGCGTTATCCTCTGAAGGCTATCTAACGAGCAGTGCAATTCTTTTTGACATGTGAGCTCAGGGCTGGGTTTCAGTATTGCCGGACTACGAGTTCACTCATAAAACAGGGCTGATTCTCTATCTTTATTATTTTACTTTATTAATATGTTTGTGTAGTAGAGAAAATTACTCAATCCATCGGAAATGGTTGGATTTTTTCCTGATTTCCTAACTTCTCCAATTATGATAATTGTTGATAATTTAGCCTAACTGTTGTGATAAACTCATTAAATAGGTTGCCTAATTGTTGTGATAAACTTATTAAATAGCTTGTCCGTTTCAAATTCACAAACCGTGTAATTTCAGATAATCTGAGCTAGAGGACTGAATTGACACACTATTAACAAGTCCCACGCCTCTAGCTTCGTGGGTGAAGATTGTTAATGGTGTATAAAAATGGAGCCAGTTCCCTCAAATTCTCAACCGAAGTAGCCCCGAATAAATTGAAGAGAGTATTGTCCCGAATCAGTTTTGCAACGAAAGGACTGAGTCTCATCCCAAATCTATCCATAACGTCCTGAATCTCGACTTTCTCCTGGAAAAGGGATCACTCAGGAACAAAAAAGAGATAATCCTTTGGCACGACGTGCTGAATAACACGATCACCAAACATCGACTCAACAAGAAGAAAGCAGAAACAGTCCCGAACCTAATCAAAACACTCAGAAAGCATAGTTGGAGAAATTTTTAATAAAAGTAAATTTCAAACGTTTTCGCAACTATGTGCATCGTCAGGATTTTTACAATAAACTACTCTAAATGACGATAAAACATCAATTTATAAATGTTATTTACAATAAATCACATACAATTTGGTTCTAAACCATCATGATAAAAAATTAGCCAATCACAGTTGACCTCTAAATTACTTTTAAGATTAAAATACTTTTAACTTCTAAAATTAATAAAACATTTTTAAATTAATTTGTCTGGAAGTTTCTGAGTCATAATTTTGATTTAGACATGTACGTTTTGAATAAAAAACCAAAAATATTTTGGGACTAAATTTTCAGTGTTAACTCCCTGCTCCTAAACTCATCGCGCGTGTTCAAGCCCGGTTTCTCTTTCCTGATATGTAGTGCCTCTAGTGTTAGCAATTTTGTTTGGTTGTTTGACCTATCTATAATTTCCCAACTAAGATCTGCGCTATTTCCATCAAGTTGGCTTTGCTGAAGGTGGAGGCCTACCGGTGAGTCTGCTTTCTTATGTTCCTCAATTCTAGTGGTCAAATGTCGAACAGTTTGTGCGACATAGGTGGAAGTGCATCCACTACATGACAGTTTATAAACCACTCTTGACTTGAGGTCATTAGAAAATGCTGACTTCAATGATGGAAAACATGATTGTAATTTTCTTGTGGTGAAAACCACTTGAACGTTAGTTAATTTTCGTAACCTGTTAGCAAAATATTGGCTCTGGTCATAGTTGGAGAATCAAGGCAATTATATATTGCCAAAGGGAAGGCACGAGAAATATCTTCGAGGATCTACGAAAGCTGGACATTCTCGTAATACCAGCCGGAAAAAAGCTAATCTCCAGAAGGAAACAAAACGGGTGGTGGTACCAATCCAACCTCCAGAAAATCCACCCCTCAACTATATTGGAAATAAAGTTCCTTGAAACCATATTAAAACGATTTATAAACCTCGAGTCCCTTGGGAAGAAGTATAGACCTCTATTTAGAAAAAGAAAGTCGAAAAAAAGAAGCGATAGAACAAACACGAAAAAAAGCAGGCCTCAAAAGCAAAAGAAGAACAAGGAGAAGAATAAGAAAAGGAAGAAACAGTAAAGTTAGAAACTTTTTTTTTATAGATTTTACTCTGGTAGCTACCTGGAACTTAGTTGTTCTGGAGCGGTCTAGGTGAAGTCTTTAAGAATGAGTAACCGTACACGGAAAAACACAAACAAATCACAGGTTGATGAGGCCTGGACATGTGTAACCTATAGAAAAAACTACGGAGATCCCTTGGATCAAGTATTGGAGTGCGATAACTGTGCAAAACATTTTTGTGCAAAATGTTTGAAAATGCCAACGGCAGTTTATGATTACATGTCGAAATCTAAAGGAATATGGTGCTGCGACAATTGTACCGAGGATGTAAAGAACCTAATGAAAGACGCAGTGACTCCAAAAACACATCAGGACATATCCAAAATGAGGACCGATCTGGATAAAACTGTTGATTCCGTGAAAATTCTAATGGAGGATTTTTATTACTTCATGAATGGAACAAAAAACAAAGCACAGCCAACAATGGGATCGAATGCAAATCCCTGGAAGATAGAACCAAATGTCACTAAACCTCTGAAAGACATAATCCTTGAAGCTGGAGCTGAGCAAAAAAGAGAAGAGGAAGAAGATTTAAAAAGAAAACGAAATCTAATCATACACAAAGCACCGGAAAGTAAATCAACCAAACCGAAACTGCGACAGAATGAAGACAGGTCATTAATCCGTGAGCTATGCGCAAGCATAGAAATTGAACCAACAAAAGTTAAAAATTGCACTAGACTTGGCAAATTATCTGAGGACCACGAAAACGAAACCAGGCCAAGACCATTGAGAATCACACTGAAACTACAGGATGATGCTGAACACATGATGAAAAATCGGACAAAATTGAAGTATGCCAAGGATGAGCTAAAACACCTGAGAATCACTCCAGACAGGAGCATGAAAGAGAGGGAAAATTTCCGCTTCCTAGTGCAGCGAGCAAAAAACTTAACAGCAGAGGAACCCGGCAACTTCATTCAAATTGTCAGAGGGAACAAAATAATCAGAGTAAAGAAAAGGGAGATAACAATGATGCAAAGAACAACGCCGAAAACAGAGAACATTTTGAGCTCTGGTTCGGGAATGTAGACACCCTAAACCCTGAAAAGTTCATAGAGTTACAAACGCTAATACATCAAACAAACCTGTTACCGCACGTTATTGCTCTTACAGAAGCTAAACCTAAGAATTCTGTAAACATATGGAACCCAATTTGGCACAAACTTGATTGCTACAACTTGAAACACAAAAACATGAATCCGAATGAAAAAGGCAGAGGCAAGCTACTTTACATTCGCAAAGACATGGAATATAAGAAAATAAACGATGACTCTGGATTCGAGGAACTGCAAGTGTTTAACTTGATTTTAACCGAGGGAGAAGTTGTCATCGCCTCGACATATTGGAGCCCATCATCAACTCACGAAAACAACTCCAACCTCAACAATTTTTCAAGAAAAATAGGATCAAGTCGATCTAGATACATTGTGCTGGGAGACATGAACTTCCGAGATGTAGACCGGAAATATGTGAGCACGAATCACGACGAAAACAGCAAAGAACACCATTTCATTGAGGCGGTCAAAGATTCTTATCTCGACCAACATGTTGACAGACCAACACGCGTGACCAAACATAATGAACCGTCACTCCTAGACCTCTTATTAACTGATAAAACCTTAGAACCATCTTCCATTGAATACATCTCTCCACTGGGGAAAGGTGACTACACACTGTTACAAGCAAAATTCAACCTTTGGACAACAAGGCGCTCCAAAGAGAGGCTAAATTACAATACAGGAAGCTACGATGAACTCAGGTCTGACTTCAAAAATAATCTAATTTACGAAGATTTGCTAACCCTTGACCAAAATTGGAATAAATTCAAAAATACTCTTGATTCAGCCACCAAGAAATTTATACCTAAAATGAAAATCCGGATAAAGCAACACAAATTGCCAATGAGCTCCGAAGTAAGAGATGTACTTCGAGATAAACATAAAACTTGTAAAGATTTCAAGAAAGAGAAGTCGCAAAGAAACTAAGAAAACTACACATCGGCTCGAAACAAAGTCAGGAAATTGACACGACAATGTGTTCGAAAGCACGAAGAAGATGTATCCAAAAGCATCAAACACCAACCTAAAAAGTTCTGGAACTCCGTGAATAAGAAAATTAAAACAACCGAAACAATACCGGCTCTCAAAATTGGACCAGACAAGTGGACCATGAACGACAAAGATAAAGCTGATACTCTTGCCAACTTTTTCAGTTCTGTATTCACGATCGAAACACCAGGCAGCTGGGAAAAAGTGGATTACCAAGAAAATCAAATACCTGATGACCTCTTTATCTCCAAAGAGACAATCCTAAATGAACTCAATGCGCTAGACACTACGAAATCAATGGGGTCAGATAACGTACACCCTCGGGTATTGCGAGAATCCCGATACGAAATAGCTGAAATGATGAGCGGTTTAATGCAAAGTTCTTGGGAGAAAGGTGAAATACCAGAAGATTGGAAATGCGCAAATATATCAGCAATTCACAAGAAGGACGCAAAAAGTGATCCTAACAATTACAGACCTATTAGCCTGGCATCCATTTGTTGTAAAATTATGGAAAAAATCATCAGACGTCACCTGTTTGAATTTTTAGAAAACAACCATATCATATAAGGCAAGCAAGTCGGGTTTTTACCAGGGCGATCAACGACCCTACAGTTACTGAGAGCACTTGACGACTGGACAGCAGAACTGGCAGAGGTAACGAGGTAGATATCATCTACATTGACTTCCAAATAGCCTTTGATAGTGTACCCCACAAAAGACTACTAAACACAATTTCGAGATACGGGATCAGAGGAAAAACTCTCGAATGGATTACCTCATTCTTAACAGAAAGAAAACAAAGAGTGGTGGTCAACGAAAGTTTTTTGGAATGGGCACCCGTCATCAGTGGATTCCCACAAGGGTCTGTACTGGGACCAATTCTGTTCTTAATTTACATAAACTTGATGGGGGATGGAATCACATCCCAAATGCTCCTCTACGCAGATGATGCAAAAACCTACAGATCAGTCACAGCTTTAGGTGAAGATGAAGAACTGCAAAATGATCTGAATGTAATTTCGAAATGGGCTGATGGTAGCCTTATGAAGTTCAACATGACAAAATGCCATACGCTCACGTTAACGGGAAGGGTAAAACTAGCGGAACAAAATTACACCTTGGATGGGAATACATACCTTAATAATGTTCAAACCGAGAAAGACTTAGGGGTTATAGTTGACTCGAGACTACTATTCCGTGAGCACATTGCCAAGAAAACAAGGTTGGCCAACGGCATGGTCGCGATAATACGGAAAAGCTTCATCTATTTTAACGCTGAGGTACTAACAACCCTATATAAAGCCCTAGTGAGAACGCACCTGGAATACGCAAATCAGTGTTGGAACCCATACCTGAAAAAGGACAAGATCATGATTGAGAAC